TTTGTCAGGTTTGTCAAAGATCAGATGGTTGTAGATGTGTGGTGTTATTTCTGAGGCCTCTGTTCTGTTCCATTGGTCTATATCTCTGTTTTGGTACCAGTACCATGCTGTTTTGGTTACTATAGACTTGTAGTATAGTTTGAAGTCTGGTGGTGGTATGCCTCCAGCTTTGTTCTTTTTGCTTAGGATTGTCTTGGCTATATGGGCTGTTTTTTGGTTCCATATGAAATTTAAAGTAGTTTTTTCTAATTCTGTGAAGAAAGTCAATGGTGGCTTGATGGGGATAGCATTGAATCTATACATTACTTTGGGCAGTATAGACAGAATATTGATTCCTCCTATCCATGAGCGTGGAATGTTTTTCCATTTGTTTGTGTCCTCTTATTTCCTCGAGCAGTGGTTTGTAGTTCTCCTTGAAGAGGTCCTTCACATCCCCTGTAAGTTGCATTCCTAGGTTTTTTATTCTCTTGGTAGCAATTGTGAATGGCAATTCACTCATGACTTGGCTGTCTGTCTATTATTGGTGTATAGGAATGCTTGTGATATTTGCACATTGATTTTGTGTCCTGAAACTTTGCTGAAGCTGCTTATCAGCTTAAGGAGATTTTGGGCTGAGACGATGGGGTTTTCTAAATACACAATCATGTCATCTTCAAACAGAGACAAACAATTTATCTTCCTATTTGAATACCTTTTATTTCTTTCTCTTGCCTGATTGCCCTGGCTAGAACTTCCAGTACTATGTTGAATAGGAGGTGTGAGTGAGGGCATTCTTGTCTTGTGCTGGTTTTCACAGGGAATGCTTCCCCCTTTTGCCCATTCAGTATGATATTGGCTGTAGGTTTGTCATAAATAGCTCTTATTATTTTGAGATATGTTCCATCAATACCTACTTTATTGAGAGTTTTTAACATGAAGGGATGTTAAATTTTAGCAAAGGCCTTTTCTGCATCTATTGAGATAATCATGTGGTTTATGGATTACATTTATTGATTTGCATATGTTGAACCAGCCTTGCATCCCAGGGATGAAGCCGACTTGATTGTGGTGGATAATCTTTTTGATGTGCTGCTGGATTAGCTTTGCCAGTGTTTTATTGAGGATTTTCTCATTGATGTTCATCAGAGATACTGGCCTGAAATTTTCTTTTTTTGTTGTGTCTGTGCCAGGTTTTGGTATCAGGATGATGCTGGTCTCATAAAATGAGTTAGGCAGGAGTCCTTACTTTTCCATTGTTTGGAATAGTTTCAGAAGGAATTCAGTACTAGCCCCTCTTTGTACCTCTGGTAGAATTTGGCTGTGAATCCATCTGGTCCTGGAGTTTTTTTGGTTGGTAGGCTATTAATTACTGCCTCAATTTCCGACCTTGTTATTGGCCTATTCAGGGATTCAGCATCTTCCTGGTTTACTCTTGGGAGGGTGTACGTGTCCAGGAATTTATCCATTTCTTCCAAATTTTCTAGTTTGTTTGTGTAGAGGTGTTTATAGTATTCTCTGATGTTAGTTTGTATTTCTGTGGGGTCAGTAGTGATACCCCTTTATCATTTTTTGTGTCTATTTGTTTCTTCTCTCTTTTCTTCTTTATTAGTCTGGCTAGTGGTCTACCTATTTTGTTTATCTTTTCAAAAACACCAGTTCCTGGATTCATTGATATTTTTTTTTTAAGGTTTTTCATGTCTCTGTCTCCTTCAGTTCTGCTCTGATTTTAGTTATTTCTTGTCTTCTGCTAGCTTTTGAATTTGTTTGCTCTTGCTTCTATAATTCTTTTAATTGTGATGTTATGGTGTCGATTTTAGATCTTTTCAACTTTCTGATGTGGGCATTTAGTGCTGTAAATTTCCCTGTTAACATTGCTTTTGCTGTGTCCCAGAGATTCTGGTACATTGTCTCTTTGTTCTCATTGGTTTCAAAGAACTTCTTTATTTCTACCTTAATTTCGTTATTTACCCAGTAGTCATTCAGGAGCAGGTTGTTCAGTTTCCACGTAGTTCTACAGCTTTGAGTGAGTTTCTTAATCCTGAGTTATAATTTGATTGCACTGTGGTCTGAGAGACTGTTTATTATGATTTCCATTCTTTTGCAGTTGCTGAGGGGTGTTTTACTTCCAATTATGTAATCGATTTTAGTGCTATGTGGCACTGAGAAGAATGTATATTCTATTCATTTGGGGTGAAGAGTTCTGTAGATGTCTACTAGGTCCACCTGGTCCAGAACTGAGTTCAAGTCCTGAATATCCTTGTTGATTGCCTGTCTCGTTGATCTGTCTAATAATGACAGTGGGATGTTAAAGACTCCTACTATTATTGTGTGGGAGTCTAAGTCTCTTTGTAGGTCTCTAATAACTTGCTTTATGAATCTGGGTTCTTTTGTATTGGATGCATATATATTTTGGATAGTTAGCTCTTGTTGAATTTATCCCTTTACCTTTATGCCCTTCTTTGTCTTTTTTTTCATCTTTGTTGGTTTACAATCTGTTTTATCAGAGACTAGGATTGCATCCCCTGCTTTTTTTTTGCTTTTTTTTTTTTCTTTCTTTTTTTTTTTTTCCCTTTGCTTTCCACTTGCTTGGTGAATATTCCTCCATCTCTTTATTTTGAGCCTATATGTGTCTTTGCACATGAGATGGGTCTCCTGAATACAGCACACCAATGGGTCTTGTTTCTTTATCCAGTTTGCCAGTCTGTATTTTTAATTGTAGCGTTTAGTCTATTTACATTTAAGGTTAATATTGTTACCTATTAATTTGATCTTGTCATCATGATACTACCTGGTTATTTTGCCCATTAGTCAATGCAGTTTCTTTATAGTGTCATTGGTCTTTATATTTTGGTGTGTTTTTACAGTGGCTGGTACTGGTTTTCCTTTACATATTTATTGCTTCCTTCAGGAGCTCTTGTAAGACAGGCCTGATGACAAAATCCCTCAGCATTTCCTTGTCTGTAAAGGATTTTATTTTTCCTTCACTTATGAAGCTTTTTGGTTGGATATGAAATTCTGGGTTGAAAATGCTTTTCTTTTGATAATGTTGAATATCGGCCCCCACTCTCTTCTGGCATATAGGGTTTCTGCAGAGAGCTCTGCTATTATTCTGATGGGCTTCCCTTTGTAGTAACCTGATCTTTCTCTCTGGCTGCCCTTAGCATTTTTTCCTTGATTTCAACCTTTGAGAATCTGAAGATTATGTGTTCTTGGGGTTGCTCTTCCTGAGGAGAATCTTAGTGGTGTTCTCTGTATTTCCTGAGTTTGAATATTGGCCTGTCATGCTAGGTTAGGGAAGTTCTCCTGGATAATATCCTGAAGTGTGTTTTCCATCTTGGTTCCATTCTCCCTGTCACTTTCAGAGCTGGTGCACTGTGCTTGGAGAATCCCTCTTGTCAGGATCAGCTGCTCTCTTCAGAGCCAGCAGGCAGGAATGATTAAATCCGCTGAAGCTGCACCCACAGCTGTCCCTTCCCCTAGGGGCTCTCTCCCAGGGAGATAGGAGTTTATCTGTAAGCCGCTGACCGGGGCTGTTACCCTTTCTTCAATGATGCCCTGCTCAGTGAGGAGGAATCTAGAGAAGCAGTCTGGCCGCAGCTGCTTTGCCGCGCTGTGATGAGTTCTACCCGGTCTAAACCTTCCAGCCTCCTTAGCACTGTCAGTGGAAAACCACCTACTAAAGCCTCAGTAATAACAGATGCCCCTCCCTTACCAAGCTTGATCTTCCCCAGTCGACTTCGGACTGCTGTGCTGGCAGCGAGAATTTCAAGCCATTGATTCCTAGCTTGCTGGGCTCAGTGGGAGTGGGACCCGCTGAGTGAGACCACCTGGCTCCCTGGCTTCAGCCTCCTTTGCGGGGGAGTGAACGGTTCTGTCTTGCTGGGGTTCCAGGCACCACTGGGGTATGAAAAAAACTCCTTCAGCTAGCTCAGTGTCTGCCCAAACAACTGCCCACTTTTGTGCTTGTAACCCAGGGTCCTGGTGGTGTAGGCACATGAGGGAACCTCCTGATCTGCAGATTGCAAAAACTGCGGGAAAAGCATAGTGATCTGGCTGGATAGCACAGCCCTCATGGCTTTCCTTGGCTGGGGGAGGGAGGTTCCCTGGCTTCTGGTACTTCCCAGGTGAAGCAACGCCCCACCCTACTTCTACTCACCCTCTGTGGGTTGGACTCACTGCCTAACCAGTCCCAATGAGATGAACTGGGTACCTCAGTTGAAAATGCAGAAATCACCCACCTTCTGCATTGATGTCACTGGGAGCTGCAGACTGGAGCTATTCCTATTCGACCATCTTCCGATCATGTCCTAATAACAGTATTTTATAATAGTTTGTTTACCTGCTTTTCTCTCCTCACTAGACCGTGAACTTCTCATATTAATCTTTGTATCTCTAGAATCTAGGCCATTAGCATTTAAAATGTGTTCAGTAAATAGCAAGTGAGTGAATTGTTAGAAATGAAAAAAAAAAATAAGTGACAACTCTGTAAAAGGATTACTCACAAGTGAAGTAGAACCTAAGAACATAGGAGTAAGAGAAAAGGACTACTTCAGAAAGTATCTCAATTTTTTCTAAGGAGTCATAGATATTTTAAGTATTTTTCTTAGCTGGTTGAGGAAAAATCTTAAGAATATATTACCTTTCAAAAAAATTATAACTCTCATCATTATTTGAATACTGTGTTTAAAATTCCCAATATTTTGATGTTAGAACCTGATCATTCTCTATAGCATCCTAATTTGTCATTTTAGTTTACAATTGACATTATTTCAGTTAACAAGACATCTTAGATATTGAAATATTGGTTAAGTTGTTGAAAATGGCTTCAGTAACTATCAGGTAATTGAAAAACCATTGTCAATTGATCTTTCTCTCTCTACACACATGTGCATGCACATACAAATGCACATTTCTTTTTTTAAATCACAAATTTGCCTTTGTATTAATATTCTCAGTAACATATTTAAGTATGTTATATTAAATCTCGGGAAACAGTGAAATTTTTTTTCTTTTAATTTCAGAAAATAGAGAATCCTGATGAACTGGCAGAACTTATCAATATGAATCTTGCACAACTTTGCTCACTTTTGATGGCTTTATGGGGACAGTTTCTGGAAGTTATAACACTACACGAAGAACTAAGAATATTATTAGCACAAGAGCACCATACTTTGAGGGTAAGTTAAAGAGAAGTGATTTTAGAGCATTTTAATGAGTATTATTTACCTTTAGAAAATTTTTATGAAAACAAACCTGATTTTTACCTATATATTGATAAATCAGAAGACATTTATCATAATGTTATTGTTTGACTTCCAAAATTAATAATAGAATGGAACAATACAGTTAAGCATATGACCTGTTTCAATCACAATCTCTGCTGCTAAGAAAAACCACCTAAAAGTAAGTAAAATAGGAAAATATATGATACAGAATAGCCCCTGGAACCTAAGAATAGGAATTAATAGCCAAGCTTCATTAGGGACAGGAATCAGGAACTAGAGAGCTATCTCAAACTTAGTCTTCCTCTTCTCCTTTTCCTTCCCTTTTTCTCTCTATCACTGACCTAATAAAGGAATGTGTATTATAAACTTGGCAAGATGGAGGGGGCAGTCCACACATTACACATACATGTTAGCTGTAGACCTAGTATGGACATTATGCAGGAATTTCTATGCAATTTTATTGTATAGCATCTAAAGAGATTTTACATGTTAAATAACTATCTTTCCAACTCTTTTTCTTATATACTCTGCATGCACCCTGATTTTACCTTACATACTAGGAGTTCCTCCAAACATCATTAATTTCTTTTCCTTTTTTAAAAACATTTTCTTAATTATAAAACATAACATATAGTCAAAGTCAGAAAATGCATGCAACAGGCACATTTTATCAAATAATTAAAAGCATACACCCTTTCAGTTATTATGCAGATCGAGAAGTAGAATACTCTCAATACTACAGATGTTTGCTCTGTGTCTTTTCCACTTACTATACCCTTCCTAATACTTAGAAGTAATCACTATCCTGTCTTTTTTAGATGATGAGTTCCTTACTTCTCTTTTAGTTTTATTATCTATGTATGCATGTTAAATAGTGGAGGTTGTTTCCACCTGTTATTGAATTCTATATAGATGAAATTGTACAGTAGTGTTCTTCTGTATCTTGCTTTTTCACTCAAGACATTAGAAGATTAATCCATCTTTTTTGACAGTACCTGTAGATTGTTCATTATCATTGCTGTAATATATCTCCATTTGAATATATCCACATTTGTTTATCTGTTCTACTGTTGATAGATACTTGGATTACTTCTAACTTGTAGTAGCTATTACAAACCAAACTGCTATGAACATTCTTGTGTATATGTCCTGGCATACCAGTTCATCTGAAATACTTACCTGTGAGGGAAATTGCTGAGTCATAGGGTATGCATAACTTCAATTTTACTAGCTAATGTGACAGTTTTCAGAGTTGTACCAATTTTTACTCCCACCAGCACAGTTTGTTACTCCACATACTCTCCAATTCTTGATACTGGCAAGCTTTTTAAACTTTGCCAAACTGATAGATGTGAAATGGTATATTATTGAGGCTTTAATTTGCATTTCTCTGATTACCCATGTGGTTGAGCACTGCTTTGTGTGATTATTGGTTATGCAGGTTTGCCCCATATGAAGTGCCTATTCTAATCTTTTGCCCATTTCTAATAAGATTACTTTTTTCTTCTTTATTTCTAATACTTTTCTGTGTCCTTTGTTATGTGTTTTTACTAATAGAGCCTCTCTCATTCATGGTTTATTGTTTTCATTGATTTTATATTGTTTTTTAATGAACTGGAGGTCCTAATTTTAGAATAGAAGGAAACTAAGAGAATGGCCAGACATGGACATAGCCATTTTTGGACATAACATATGTGGATCAGTGAGATTTTTCAATAAATGATGTTTGAGACAATTGAGTATCCATGTGGTAAATATTAAATAAAATTCAGTTCCAAGTGGATTGAAGATTTAAATGTGAAAGGCAAAACTGTAAAGCTTCTAAAGTATAATCAGAAACTTACAGAAGACTTTAAAAAGTTGGCCGGGAGTGGTGGCTCACACCTGGAATCCCGGCACTTTCGGAGGCCAAAGCAGGTGGATCACCTGAGGTCAGGAGTTCAAGACCAGCCTGGCCAACATGGTGAAACCCCATCTCTACTAAAAATACAGAAAGTATCCAGGTATGGTGGCAAGTGCCTGTAGTCCCAGCTACTTGGGAGGCTGAGGCAGTGGTGGAGGTGGAGGTTGCAGTGAGCTGAGATTACACCACTGTACTCCAGCCTGGGCAACAAGAGTGAAACTCCATCTCAAAAAAAAGAAAAAAAAAAAAAAGGTAATGCAGAGTACTTCTATATAATTTTCATCAGAATCACAAATCAGCATTTTGGCACATTTGCTTTATCGTTGCCTCTTTTTTGTAGGTAGATACACATGTAAATATGCATACATATATACTTACATTGTTTTTCGTGAGCAATATGATAATTGTAGACATAGTATTCTTTTATGATTAAGTACTTCAGCATATATATCCTAAGAATAAGGACATTCTCTTAGTTAACCAATACACTGATCTACTTTAGAAAATTTTATATTGATACAATACTGATATTTAATGTATGGCCCATATTTAAGTTTTACCAATCATCTTACTAATGTTTTGCATAACAACTTTTTCCAAGATCAAATTCAGGATCACATTGAATTCAGTTTTCATGTTCCTTTACTCATTTAATCAGGACTAATTCCTTATCTTTGCATGACCTTGACTTTTCAGAGTATTGGCCAGTAAGTTTGTGAACTATTCTTCAGTTTGGGTTTGTATTATATTTCCCAGTGATTAGATTAAGATGACACAGTACTGGGGGATATTACAGTTTTTTTCAATCAGTTTTGGTAAATTACATTTTTCGAGGAGTTTGCCCATTCTAAGTTTTTTTAATTTATAGACATCAAGTAGTTCATAGTATCCTTCAATTATCTTTTTAATATCTACAATATCTAATGTTTTCTAGTTTCATTCCTGATTTTATTATAGTTTCTAGTTGTTTGTGCCTTCACTCTTTTTTTCTTGAATTGTCTCACCAGAACTTTGTTATTTTATTTGTCTTTTCAAAAAAGCAATTTTTGGTGGTGGTAATTTTCTCCCTGTGTGTTTTGTTTTGTTTCATTATTTTTGCTATATTGTAGCAAATAGGATCCATATATCAAATACTGTTGTTTTATAGGACTTTTTCTTAGAAGTTATTTATTAAAGATCAATCACCTTCTCTAAAGGGCTAAATAAAAAGGATTCTACAATGGATGAAATAGCGTAATCACTGTATTCAACTTACTAATGGTCTGGCATCATCTTAATGTAGCAATTTAGAATGAATAACATAATGAATGGAATGTATTTTTTTCGGCAATTTTCATGAACATCATTTCTCATTACCAAGATTTTGAATAACAATGAATTATGGTAATAGTATCAGAAAGGTAGCCAGTTTTCAGGGTCAATTAAAGTGACGTTGATAAGCATTAAAGGATCTCACTGACATTCTTTTTTTGGAAATTTAGAACTCTGACAAGACTTGAAAGCCAGTCCACCTCTATAGAGAGGTGAGGTGAATGCATACCAATACCTCAGGCAAAGTTTTCTTGAAAAGTATGTCAGAATACACAACCAGCGACCCAGTTTTCTATGCTGTAGAACAAGAATCAGCTTTTTCTGTTAAGGACCAAATGGTAAACATTTTGGGCTTTGGGAGCCACACATTTTTGTCTTAACTACTCAACTCTGTTGTAACATGAAAGCCGCCGCCATGGATGGTATATGAATAAGTGAATGTGGCTGTGTTTCAATAAAGTTTTATTTACAAAAACAGGTGTTGGGCCAGATTTGGTTCTCAGGCTGTAGTTTGCCAACCCCTGCATTATAAAACTAAAAGGAGAGTTGACACCTCTTCCACAAAATAAAAGTCTGTTCGAAGGTTATTTTTAGTGACCAGTAGAAGTAAAGGCCAGTAGCAAGAAATAGTTTTACATGGGAAAGGTAATCTTCAGGGTATTTTTTTCTCTTTTTTTTTTTTTGTTTTTTCTTTTTTTTTTTTTTTTTTTTCCCCAAAAGAGAGGGGGTTTTTTTTTTTTTTTTTTTTTTTTTTTTTTTTTTTTTTTTTTTTTTTTTTTTTTTTTTTTTAATTTTTATGTTTTTATTTAGTTCCCACAAGCAGACAGGGCTTTTTTTTTTTTTTTTTTTTTTTTAAACTATGTGTTACTAGAGAAAAATATTATAGTTCCATTAAATTGTTCTGTTTGTGTCACCTGAATGGAAGTTCTGGAAAGAGAATGGTTGCAAGGATTAGATGCAACTTCATAGCTTGATATTCAATGGGAAAGAAACTGTTCTGGGTGGAATAGGAACAAGAAGGTAAACTTAAAAGAGCAGCTGGTGAACACAACTTTGAGAAGAAAGGACAAAGAAAGGGGACCAAGACAAAAATCAGGTTTGTGGAAAACTAGAATACCAAAGATAAACTTTGGAATTTTACCTAGAGCTTCCCTTTTCTCACCCCATTCCAGACACCAGGATAGGGCCTATTTTAATTCCTAAATGAATCATGGAAGGATAATAAAGACAAAATAAGAGAATGTCCTAATGTTACTCAAGCAGGAATAAGCCTTGCCCTGCCTTGCCGTGTATCACAAAAACTGTGGCCATGGTAGCATATTGTGTTATCTCGCTCCCATTTATGCAATTCAGGAGGAACTTCGCTAATAAAGTATCTTGTTCTTCTGAGAATACAGTGCTAAGCCTACAGGAACTGAAGTAGTCTAAAGGTCATTCAGTGTTTGTACAGGGACAGACTTAGCTATAATAAAGTATATAGGCTGCCTGATAACGAATTCAGAAGCAGCACTATTGAGCTAAGTCGCAGAAATAAACCTTGATATGAAATCTCTCCTTATAGGTGTGAAAGCAAATTATGAAGCAAAGAGTTGGACTAAAAAGAGGAAATGTAAATCCATACTTGAAAATAACAATTTAATAAATTAGTTTTATACCGGTTCAACCATATTCTTTAATATTCAGATCCAGTGATTTCAGGTTTTCAAATTTTTGGCGAATTAAGGCATCCAAACTTGTT